TCAAATGTCTGTCAGTCACGGTGGACATGTTTAAATTACATAAATCTGAATTTAAACTTTCAATCAACTGCGAAACCAAGGATACATCCCACCCCTCAAAGCTACCAACACAGTAACATATAATCCTTATAAAATGAGAAAATGATGTAAAATGATTAAGAACAGACACCAGTTGCCAGTTAGCATGCAGGCTTCCTCCTGTACACAGAATTTTTATTCTCCCTTCTTTCTACTTGGCTCAAGACAAGAGATTCTGTTTCTTTAAATCTGTGATGTTTCAGAAATCCTAGCAGGATTCTACATGGCTTCGCTTTCCCCAGATATACATGTCCAGACAGGGCAAGAATGCCTCCTCTGTGGATTCTTGACTAGTTTGTTGAATTTAGCTACTGTACGTGCAGAATAGTAAGATATGATCTTAGTTCAAGTTTACCATGTTTTGTTGAAAAATATTTCATTAGGAGGAATCTATTATACATTTGGAGGGAGAGCTATTAGTCACTTTGAAATAAGTACCCTTGAATTTTTGAGTGCTATTTCAATAAAGATATTGCACATTATATGATTCAAACTATAAATACAAGATAGCAAAACATAAAGGCCCTAGGATTTTATAATTCTTAAGTGCTGTTTTATGTGCCATGAATAGAAATAATGGTGCTATTTAATGAAGTAATTTTACAACCGAGCAAAGAGAGGGCCCATGCACTAAATCATGTTATACACCGTTCCCTCGGCACTCCCTAACCGGCACAGGGACCCACTCGCTTCTTGGAGTCCCAGCTAAAGGGAAGCCATCTGAGGAAAGCCAACTCATTACTCAAGATTCTTTTCTTTTCTTTCTAGAAGCTCAGATATGAGAATTGCTCTCCTGAAGGTCAAAGCAGTTGTAATCTGCTTTTCTACCCCAAAGCCCCCGGCCATCTTGGGAGGAGAGCCCTACCAACATTTCTCCAATATACATGATTTTTTTCCAGGTCTTCTATGCATAATTTGTCATTTTTTAGTGTTTTGTGGAAGCATATTTATAAAAACAAGAGATGCCAAATTTATTAAATCAAGGCACCTGACTATAAGAATCAAGATGAAATTACTTTAAACTCATTTTCAAGTCAATAGGGTTGTTATAAAATAAAGTGCTCTCAAAACAAAAAAGCTACCATTAGAAGTTTCCTGAGCACAGATGGGAAAGAAAGGATTTTTCCTCTGTGACTGCAAACATCCTGCAGTTATTCCATCCCTTCCATGGAATGCTCTTCTGAACAGTATCTGGATCCAGTTGTGCCCCCAAGAAAGCATCGCCACAGATTTCTGAGTCTCCCTCCTGTGTTTCTCTAGCTTCCCGTCTTAGATGTAAAAGTTCACTTCAGAGCTCTATAAAAAGAGCATTCTCAGGTTTATTTGCTTTTTAACATCATTGAATTGCAAAAGAAATTGATTTGGCACTTTATAGAACCCTATCCTCATGAAATTAGACATTTAGGCATTGAAGACTTTTTAAAAAGTACTTCCACAGATTAAATATATCTGAAATAACATCCGGTATAGATGAAACAATGGATTATCATTTTGTGCTTCAGTAAGTGTTTTGTGTTCTTGTTTTTAAAAAATTTCATTGACATAGTACTCACATTCATTGTTGTAAAAATAAAATCTACCAAGAAGGTTCTCTATATTCTTTCCTTATTTTCTCCATAATTGTGCTAATGTATTAGCTAGGGCAGCTATATTTTAAATGGCATGTTTATATTTAGCAGCTAATTATGCAAATTCTACCATGATTATGATTGTAAATATCCTTCAGGAGCAGTCACTTAGCATCTAGTCCTGAAAACATTTTTGGAAAATTCTTGTTAAAATGCTCAGAATTCACTTATCTTCTCAGTGGTGCATAGTTCTTATGCACCAAGCAGAATATTGCACTTTGAAAAAAAAGTATGGATTCTTTAAAGGACCTGAACATTCTATGTCACTGAGTGGCTTTGTGACCTTTGGCAAGTTACTTAAATCCTCTGAGCTCAGTTTCATCATTTGTAAAATTGAAATGATGCTAGTACATACTTCACTAAGCCATGATGATTATATCACAAGATGTGTAGAAACTACTTAACACAACGTTTGGACCATAAAAGGCTTTTAGTAAAAGCTAGCTACCCTCAGCACTCTTCTTAAAATAGTAGTACTTATAAAATAAATGTGGTGCCCAGCAGTACTACATTTCAGCTCAGTCACTAAGCTCTCTAGAAGACTCCAGAACTACAGCTGAAGAGGAGGAAGTATCACTATCTAGGTAACGATGGGATGATAGGTGGGAATGCTGATAGCAAAATTTCCAGACTCAAGTCTTTTTACTAGAGAATCATTCTATACACACTTTTGTCATGTGCCTGGGTTAAGGATATTTAGGTGTTTCAGTAATGTGGACTCTAAATGCTGATGTATGTGCATGTATGTGTGCATGTGTGTGCATGTGCATGTGCATATTAGCCTACAGAAAAAGGGAATTTAGCCTGCTTATGTATGTGCAAGGAATCCAATTCCACTCTCTGAGGATAAGCTGATTAACAGGTGAGGAATGACCTTGGCCAGATGTGTGAGATAAAATTCTTCCTCTGTTATTTCACATTTCAGGGAATAAAAATAAAAAAAAGTAAAATTATGCTCATAATTATAATCATATGTCTGAATATGGTAGTGATAATGACAGTATATTTTAAGCGAACATTATTCTTTTTTAGTCAATTTTTCTAATACTTGTTATTATAGAAAGAAGATAATTTAGATTTTCTAAAAAGGGTTTCTAACATATAAAACATAAATCCATCTACTTTTTCTGAGCTTTGGTGCAATAGACACCTAAAGAGGAAGCAGAGTCCCTAAAAGAATTCGGATACTGCTTAAGGCTAAAATTCTACTTGACTTTGATCCAATATAGAGAAGACTCCACATAGCGGGAAGTTCTTTTGTTCCCCCCCATACTAAGAGCTGTGAAAAACTGGGCTCAGTGTGGCACATGTGTCTCAGGGATTGAGTATTGATCTATGAACTAGGAGGTCACTCATCGATTCCCAGTCAGGCACACACCCAGGTTGTGTGGACCCGATCCCCATTGTGGATGTGCACGAGGCAGCTAATCAATGATTCTCCCTCATCACTGATGTTTCTATCTCTCTCTCCCTCTCTCTTCCTCTCTAAAGTCAATAAAAATATAAAAAATTTTTTAAAAAAAAGCCCACCTGGGGTCAGTGATGCTCATTAAGTTATAAACATGTGGTAACTGCAAGATGGGAAAGAGTCATACACTGTCATTGACCAAAATGTGTCTACAGCCCAGCAGGGTGGAAATAGCTTACTATGATCCACGGTGGAATCAATCTCTCAATTCTCTGTGACCCACAAGGTGCGGCATGGTGGTGGTGGTGGGGGGATGGATGGTGGGGAGGATGGATGCTAGTCCTCACACAGTATCCTGGAGATGAATGTTTCCTCACTAAATTCTTATGATTCTAAGTCTTTCCCCTAGGTGACTAGTTTTCCCACCAGCCCACTCCAGAGGACATGTCACCTTTCTTCAAAGCACAGGGCACAAGCTTCTGAGCAACAAGGAACATCTTGGTAGATTTCCCTTTAGTTGTTTAGTGGTCTATTCCAATAAGCCTCAGTATTCCCACACCCCTCAGCTGTCCGCGTTCCTTTCTTTGAGTCTTAGAATTTCAATTCCTACAGCCTTTGGAAAGGAGAGAACAAATATCATTTCCCAATTCTTAATTTTTCCTAGTCCTACATAATCTAGCCAGTTACCATTGTTAGTTTTTTTTGTTTTGTTTTTTTATTTGTGTGAAAGGACTAGAATTTGTTAGAGCATTAATGATTCCCAGACTTCCACGTTCATTCCCTTTCTATCCTCCAGGAATCTTTCTGCTGTGACTGAACAGTAAGGAGAGACCGCCCTTTCATGATAAAATTCTGCTAATGAGGACAGGGCTTTTTGATTGGTGTGTGAAAAAGTAAGATAGACAATTCACATTACATTCACAACTGTAGCCTTCTTTCTACAAGGTTATATAATAGTAGCAAGTGATATTACCATTTTTATCGAGGAACAGGTAACACTAGTTCTTATAAAAGTACTGATTGATTAAATATGTAGATTTCATTTTTCATACATCTGGATCTATACAACTAGTTTTGGGATGCATTTTTTTTACTAGATTTTTTAAAATTATAATTATTACATTGATTTCCTTTAACCAATTCAGGCTAGAGAAATTCCCTTTATCAAAATTAACTTTTTTTTAAATATATGAACTTTGGAGAATTAAAAAAAAATGTAGTAGGAAGGTTCTAGTCTGGCAACTTATAATAATATGTATATTAAAACAGAAATTAAAATGGCCAGATGGTGTCATTCACCAGATCATTTTGATGATTTCAGTACCACTCTGGAATGAGTAGTAAACCTAAACCATCCTATTTTTATGCAAATTCATGTTTTTATCTCTCTCCATGACAACCAGTCACACCTTCTTAACCCAAACCAGATGAGAAAACAAAATTTCACCACACAAGGAAAAACACAAATCATCACTTTAAACAGCTACTCCTTGAACCACTCACTCCTTATTTTCTGTGGCGGTTCGTTATCATGAGCTCTGGATTTCTTGGTCTGAACGGTTTCTGCTAACCACAAGGTCCTTCCAAATTATTCAGACGTAGTTATGGATGACGTGCTCAGGAGCCTGCACTGACCACTACCTGGTGTGTCTGCCCTCCAGGAGCAGGGCCGTGGGTCTGCTTCACTGGACCCCCAACAAGGTAGAGGTCTGAGACAAGGAAGGCCTCTGACCCTAGGCTGAGCCCGCGGCAGCAGCATCCGCAGGGCCCGCTGCCCGAGGCCGGTGCTCAGCTGACATCTCTTCTCATGGCCTGACCACTGAGGAGCCACGCGCTCAACAACATGCCACCCTGCGCCGCCCCCAAACCCTCCAGCCCCATCTTACCTGGTCTCTCTGTCTTTGGGGATCGTAGCGGTGCTGTAAGCAAACATCTGCTTCTCCACTAGCGGAGGGCCCAGGTCCACGAGGCCGGAGAGCCCTGGCGCGGTCCGGGGCTTTTCAATGTACACCAGGGTGCCCGGCTCCTTTTTGAAGGGCTGGCGGCTGGGCGAGGCCCGCTCGGGCTGCAGAGTGTGGGGCGGCCCGTGCGCGTTGTGATGCGCGTGCATGTCCACCATCCGCAGGTCGGCCACGCGGTGCGGAGAGGCGGGCGGCGTCTTGGAGCCCAGCGTGGGTAAGTGGCTGTCCGGATACTTCCTGGACTTCTGTCGGTACAGGGACTGCTGCTCCAGGTGCATCTCCGCCTGCAGGGCCGGGCTGCAGTAGGCGCTGGCCGAGCGGATGGCGGTGCGGTGGTAGGCGATGATGTGGTCCGGCACGTCCAGCGGGTGCGCGCCGCCGCCGTGGGAGGAGGCGATGCTCATGCGCCCCTCGTGGTACAGGTAAGGGTCTGCGTAGAAACCCTCGTTGCGGTACATGGCGATGCTCTTGCCGCTCATGTCTTCATCGGGCTTGACGTCCCTTCTCTCCAGGATGGCGCTCGGGCTGGGCGAGATGGACCTGGACACGGGCAGGCTGGAGAGTCGGTCCCTGGGGATGGTGGCGTTGCCCGGGATCATCATGGGGCGGCCGCCTCCGTACGGGATTCTGGACGGGGAAGGAGGCATGGAGTGGGGCACGGGAGTGGAGGGCGGAGAGTTTGGAATGGCATGAGCTGGGTGAGCTGCGGACCCCGGTCGAGAGGCCGCAGGGCCATCTCCTCTTGCATAAACAAGTTCTCTCTGCATCTGGAAATAAAACAAGAAGTTAGAACATGTCCTTTGATAGTCACATTTTTATAGAGAAGCCTCAGGGGCTGTGTGGCTTCCCTGATGGGGGAGGCGGCATAAGGGCCCTTGTAAGATGTCCACCCCTCATCCCTGGACCCCGTAACTATGTCCCCTTACATGGCATAGGCTCTTTGCAGATGTCCCCCTTTAAGAATGTTGAGATGGAGAGACTGTCGTGGATCATTCAAGTGGGCTGACTGCAATGACAAGGGTCCTTCTCGGTGACAGGGAAGCAGAAGGTCAGAGGGAGGGAAGGAGATGTGGTGGTAGAAGCAGGGTCAGATGGTACCACTGGCTTTGAAGGTGGAGGAGGGGCTGTGAGCCAAAGAATGCAGGCGGTGTCTAGAAGCTGGAAAAGGTAGGGGCATGGATTCTCCCCAGGGGGCCCCAGAAGGAGAGTGGCACTGCCAGCATCTTGCTATTGGCCTGTGAAACCCACCCCGACTTCTGATCGCCACAGCTGTACCATAATCCATTTGTGGTGATGAAAGCCACTAAACTTGTGCTATTTTGTTACAGCAGCCACAGGAACCAAATACAGCTGATGTAGAACTCAACGTAGTGGGGTTTGGAGGGAAAATTGTGCAGTGGTTTGAAATTTGAGGTAATAACTTCTTAGAGACACTGAATAAATTTGGTCTAATGTATCAAAAGTGCTAAAATTGTATTTCCTAAAACTTGTTCTGGGCACATTTTCTAGTATTAGCCCTAGAAAATAGTAAGCATCTTTTCCATCTGACACAGTCTAGTGACAGGGCCAGAGAGGAAATGGACATGCTTAGGGAAAACCTGAAGGGAAGTTGCACTTCCGCTCACCATTTCCTTACTTATTTGAGCCTCTGAGAAACTGGGCTCTGGAGGCTGGGAGAAAATAATGATCCAGGAGATAAGGGTGCAACTGGAGGCCAGGGAAAGAGATGGGACGAATCCCAGGCTCAGCGGGAGAAGAAATCCTACCAGTGCGTCCTCTAGGGCTGCCATGTGATGACAAGAAGCCAGCAGGAGTTGGCCACTGTAAGCCCAGTACTTCCTGCTCAGGCAGCAGGGACTTCCGGGCTGTGTCAGTACCATCAGTTTAGGAGAGCAGGGTCTCCCATTAGCTCTCCTTTAGAGGAAACGATGAATTAAGAATCAGTGACTCAAGAATCACAGATACAGACTGCACACTGGTGGTTGCCAGAGGCAAGAGGTGAGGGGTGGGTAAAAGTGGCCTAAAGATATAAATGATATAAATTTGTAGTTAAAATAACAAATAAAATAAAGTCATGGAAGTAAAATGTATAGCATGGGAGTTATAGTTAATACTGTACTGTATTTTTGTAAGTTGCTAAGACAGTGATTTTAAATGTTCTCATCACAAGAAAGAAACAATTGTGACTATAAGGAGGTGATGGATGTTAATTAGACTTATTTTGGTGATCCTTTCTCAATATTCACCTATGTCCCAATTGAAACTAATATAATGTTATATGTTAAATCTATTTCAATAGAAAAATGAATAAACTTAATGGGGAAAGGGAAAACTAGTTTGTAATTACACTGCTGTGTTTATTAAGGGGCAGAATAAAAAATAGAAATTAATTCAGGATATGAAGATTTGATACTTTGTTTTAGTCAAAGCCCAGGAGATTTTCCAAATGGACCTAAGGGAAGGGACAAATGGCTGAGGCATTTCCCAAGTCCACCCTCCAAGTTCTAGTTGTGCTGTCACAGGAGCCCCCTAAGCTTCTGGGGGTGTGACAGACAAGGAGGGCATACATGACTGGGGATGGGTGAAGTAGGGAACGAGGAGAGAGGAGGTGGGCTCAAATAGATGAGAACTAAGATGAGCAGCTGGGAGACCCATAATGTGGGTGATGGAGAAAGAGAGAAGAAAAAGCAGAGGCAACAGAAGAAGCTTGAAAATAAAGCAGAGCCCAGTGCCTTGAATATATACCGATGCCTTATCTTACACATTCACTCATTTAGGAAATGGTATTTACCAAGCACTTGCTTAGAACCAGGCATTATTCTAGCACACAGCTTTAAAAAGCCCCCAGTTCCTACTCTTAAGAGGGAGCTCTTGTGTATGGCTCTGAGAGGAGAGTGCATGCAGGGGAAGAATGGCAGGACTCCCAAACTTCCTCATTCTGTCTTCAGGAAGATCCAGCAGTGCAGAACCCCCGTCCCAGGAGTTTCACGTGTTATGAAAGATTTAATAATAGGAATGACCAATAAAAATGCAAGCGAGGTGCAAATATGTAGCAACCACAAGAAGCCTTTTCAGGCTACCTTATCAGAGCACCATTGGCTTCGCTTCTCAGCCCTCTTGGGGGGTGGGGTAAAGACTGTTTCTGGGGGGCCAGAATATGCAGGATCCTTACTGGCAATTACAACTTTATTCCATGTCCTCCACCTCCCAACACAAACACACACACACACACACAGTACTACCAAAATGGGCCAGTTGGTTCCCCATCTACAGTGAACTTGGGATATCCGCAACCTGTCCTCACCCCATTTTCCAGGCTGAAGCTCAAGGTTGGGATCCACATATGTCAGCTCCACAAGGCATAGCCGGTCTTCTCTCTGATCACTTGACTCAGTTGCTTAAGAGCATTCCCAATTCTCATTTCAGAATGGCAAGGCTAGCCACCTGACAGAAATTTTGCATCAGAGCAACACGGATCCTCTATGAACACCTCTCCCACTCTACCTTCCACAAGTTACGGCTCAGTGGAAAGAAACTAACTACCACCTGAAAGTCTAAAGCCTTCCGGGGGAGAATGGTGGCAGTAACTCAGCAATTGAAGCTGCTTTACGGCCTACAAACTATAACACATCCACTGATCATTGTGATGACTAATAAGCTGTAACAGCTGTTGAAATAAAGTCTTGAAACAAATTGGAAAATAAAAAAGAAGAAAGAAAGGTTTGGGTTAGTGGTGAGCAAAGCAGACCTTCACAGGTCATCAAATAGAAGAAGGAATGGTGGCTCAGCCAGTAGGGCGTATCTGGCCAAATTCCTCACGCGAATTAAACCACACAATGCAATAATCAACCCAAATGAACGCAAAGATCAATTTATCACATGGATTCAGATATGCTACTGTGTAGAAAGAGTAACAATGATCAAAATGAATCAGGTGCAATAAAAGGTGGCACTATTAACCTTATTCTCAATTCCAAAAACTAAAGGGAGTTTCAGATGTCTAGAACCCACTTAAGATAAACAGAAATCCTAATGACATTAGTCACTGCTCCTTGTTCTTTTCCCTCTTACCTGGCTTCATATTATATCTTGATTTAGGGGAGCCTGACCCCAATTAATACTCATCCCCCCTTTTTCTAACAATAGAGTAAAAAAAAAGACATCAAGATTCTGAGGAGAACAGAACTGTCTAGAAGGAGAAAGAATATTAATGAAAGAAAAATGTGAAATTAACTTTATTTCATAACAAGTTGAGTACATTTAAAAAAAAAAACACAACAGGGTGCTTGCATAGGCATTTTATTTTATTTTATTTCCTGTATAGGTGTTTTAAAAACATATTGGGTAAGGTGAAAAGAAGTGGTTCAGAGGTCCATCATACAACTAACTTTTAAAATAAAATATGCAAAAATATCATTAGATGTTTTTTATGTCATTTGTAGATGAATTCAGAAAGAAAGGTAATAGTTAACAATCCCAATACTCAGTGCATTCGTATTGGGACTGCAGGTGATTAGTAAACATATTTAACATCCAGTAGCAAGAATCGCATGGGTACCATGCAACCAAAATGGGACTTCAGCCAAGGAGGATGGATCCTGGCCACAAGCAATCAGTATCATGTACCTGCCTTGTCCACTTCAAAATAACCTTGCCATCATCCAACAGGGCTCCTGGGAGAACCACTGTCCGCCTGAGTTATGCATAGGGCAGGTGAAGACAGCACTCAGCAATGGCAGAAGAGGTAATCGAAAGTTGAACGTCTCCATCAGCGAGAGTGACTTAGAGGTTGAAAGAAAGCCTTTGGCAGAATTCTTGCATTGGTTTGCCAAGCTAACTGACTTTCCAAGACTGAGTTCTAAAAAAGAACCGTGATCATTTCATCCTTGGCTCTCCATAGAGCCCCAGGAGAGAATGACATGATGTTCCCATTATGTCCTGGGGAATGTTTTATTTATTTATTTATTTATTTATTTATTTATTTATTAAATATATTTTATTGATTTTTTACAGAGAGGAAGAGAGAGGGATAGAGAGCTAGAAACATCGATGAGAGAGAAACATCGACCAGCTGCCTCCTGCACACCCCCTACCGGGGATGTGCCAGCAACCAATGTACATGCCCTTGACAGGAATTGAACCTGGGACCTTGCAGTCTACAGACCGAAGCTCTATCCACTGAGCTAAACCAGTTTTGGCTGTCCTGGGGATGTTTTAAACCTCCGACCAGAATGAATCCTTATAACTGGATAACTTGGGTTCATACACTAAAGGATATGGATCAACCAAAGGCAACTCACTCAGGATGAGGCAGAAGGTATGGATAGGGAGATGAGAAGAGAGAATCTTTTTCAAGTCTTCAAGGTGACTGTCCATGGAGACCATTGGCTACTCTGATAAAAAGTGGACTTTATAGAATGCAGGAAATACTCATAGTCTGAGTGAACTAGGATGATATCTAAGATTCTATAATTCATATTTTAAATAGTCCAAGCCTTTTATGCTGATCTTATGGAGATCTCTTCTTAGAATCAGTACCCAGTTTCAGTTTTTTTCCCCTGTTTTATTGGCAAATGAATAAAGAAATAGCATTTATATAATACATTACTGGGATTTTCCTGCCCTAGTACTCAAAGTCAGTCCTTTCAGGAGAAAATTATATTAAACTTTAAGGTAAAACAAATAAACAAACACACACACACACCACACAGATTTACTATGCACCTTGATATACCCGAATCCCTTATTTCCCATCAATCTCTTGGAA